GGGAGGTCCGCCCCCCCTAGAGTAGGGGAAGGAAGGGTGGTAACCATGGAGTCCCAAGCTAGTCTTCAGTATTTCAGCAGTGCGCTAGACCATATAGAGCGAGGTAATGTAGTGAGCATCGCGTCCGGTGAAATTAGGGTTGACATACGGAGTTGCAAGGAACGTGTTGCTGTCAAGTGCTTGACCGTCGTGCTTGCATCAGATCTGGGTGAAAGGCAAAGAGGGGCGGTTGAAGCTCAATTTCCGAAAGAGCGACCGGAGGATCATGGGCTACCTCATCAGCGCTGAGATCCCAAAGGCCAAGCAATGCAAGCAGATTGTGTGCCTGAGCTGCGTCGACAGACTGCTCGGCAAGGTGACGGTGAGCATTGATGGTCTGTCGATCACGTTGAGCATTCGAAAAGATGGCGGCCAAGACACTGCTGTCCTACGGCGGGAGACACTGGGGAGTCCTTGGAGCCAGACACTCGAGCTCACGGATGATGTGCTGAGCTTCCTCTGCCGGGAGAATGCAACAACAGTGCCGGGGCAGAGGTCAGTCGCCACGGCGGCGTCCCAGGTCGGCAAGCGAGGCATGGCAAAGGGGATGCGGCCAAGGGCGAAAGGCGCTACGGAAGAATCGAGCACCGAGGTGAGCTATCATAATTTTTTCTTGATATACATCAGATCAAAGTATGTGTGCGTCAAGCTCTTATTGCCCAGCTCGCACGCGCTGCCACCGCTGCTACATAGCAAGAGCGAATCGTCGTCATCGCCATTCCAGAGAGTTCACGGTTCTGCTGAAGTTGCTCCACGACAATTCTGAGTTGTGTGGTCACAAGGTGTCTCAATTGTTTGAATCCAGAAACATTGACTCAATGGGCTCCATACTTGTAACACTGCCTCACAATGGCAGGGAGGTCCGTCTGAAAGACCTGCTCCCGCCTTGTGTTCCAGGGGGCGGTGCTGGGCATCAAGGCTCACGCGGTGCGCTACCTTGGGATGATGGTATCTCCCGACGAGTCGGTTCGCGTCTTCCTACCAACGGGGTCGGCGTCCCCTCCGCTTAGGCTGTACATGTCAGCGTGGGATCACAACGGTGAGGGCCGACCAAAGAAGTTGGGGAAGCCGGACAAGATGCACGCGCTGCCGGAGATTGTTTGGTTGGACACGCTTGGCGAGCTCTGCTGCTCGTGCGACCGGGGGCGGCTGATGGAGGACGCGCCGTGCGTGCACAAGCTGGCAATGGCGGCCATCAGCGAGAGCTGGGCCTTGACGGCGGAGCTGCCTACCCACGAGTCGCTCGGCAGAGGAGCAAGGGTTGAGCGGGTTGGAGCGGACGCGACGGGGAGCTACTTTGCGGTTGCCGACAACCTCCAAGGGCCGCCTGGCCCCCGGAGGCGCATGCTGTTCCGCAGAAGCAAGGGAGCTTGGTATTGCGAGGGCAAGCGCGAAGGGTGCCCAAGCCTCATGGACTGCTCACACGTCTCGGCAGCTAAAGCGGCTCTAAGGTTGGATTAGGGGGGCGTTTCTATGGCCGACCAGCTGATCTTGAGGCTTTCGGAACCCTTGTCGATAGCGGCGCTGAGCTCG